AATTTTTTTAAGAATTTTGCGAAATTTGACCCGGCCGGGTTATGAGAACCAATTTATTAAGTTTGTATGGCCTAATCTTGAAATAATCAAGGTGTTCGGACTTACCTGGTTAATCAAGTCTCCCAAAATGTTTCCGAATTTCACAAAATTTTAGTTTTGATTTCCAATTTGGACTCTTTCTATACAAAAGAATATTTTCTTAATATTCGGGTATTTGTTACGCCCAAAACTACCTCTTATAAGTTCGGTATAACTAATTTATTTTAACGCTTTAAGTGGATTATGGTGATTTGCAGTTACGAAAGAGGCATGTATATGAAGATACAAGTAGTTGTGTAACCAAGTTTATGAGTTATTCAATAAAGTACTCGTGTAAATAAGTTTATGAGTTATTCAATAAAGTACTCGTGTATGAAGACACAATTACTCTTTATTTATTATTTGAGTTGTTGACTTCTCCTTTTGCGAAAAAAAATCTATACATTTTAGAGCATTATGATTTCTTGCTATCATATCTATTAGTTGTACTAAATCTAGTATTTCTACTATATCTAATAGAACTAATACGTATATTTACTAGAACCAATAGATCTATTAGCGTTAGCACTTTTAACTAAAGTCGCATCAAATAACATATAGCATGACGCAATAGTGACGTTTGACGTTACGTATGACGTTATATCTAAATTTGATATAACGTAAAGATGACGTGAAAAGGTAACTGACCTTCTACTGTAAATGTCTGCAACTACTGTATTTGTATCACATTACTATTAATATGATATGTTGTCAATCATCCGGGTAACTTATGATACCCGGGTAGCGTTTTTTTTTGACCGAGCACAATCACTAGTTAAATGACCTTCATGGGTCATTTTGCTCGAAATGACCAATGACTGGTCACTAGTCATTTGGGTCATTTAGACCATTTCAAGACATTATTATTCCTGCTGAGAACGTACGTACGTACGTACGTACGTTGTAAAAGTGCAGGTTCAGGGTCACCGGTTCTCATAACCTAAATCACAACAAAGACTAGGCTACTCGAGAATCCTACTGCCACTAGGATCCCCGGATTAGATAGTCTTTATTATAATTTTATTTGCTTATTATCTATCTGCTCCCGTTAGTTACATGAAATCAATGAGCTTTTATACATTATGAACAACATTGGGGCTTTGCTACTACGATTAAGATCATTATACGTAAGTAATATAGCTATTTAGAGTATCGGGGGGAATCTATACTAACGATAAGCAATTCATACTCATTTACATTACAATGACTTTAGTCCCACCATGTGAATACCAGCGATGCCTTACTATTGTTCTCAATGGAACATCGTCTCAAGCCAACCAGAATTAGTATTATTATATGCCTTCGCTTTGTCGATCAATCCGCATTTCGGGTCCCGAGTCATGTGGCTTGAATCACGTTCATAACTGCGGCTAGGTCATATTACCCGTTACAACGTGCAAACGTGTTTAATAGTATTCATATTTAGCCTATGTCGAATAAGTACAGTATATAAAATAAATTTTTGGACTTTTCTGATGACCTCAAATGATCTCGAAATGACTATTAATTATTAGAGAACATTAGGTTATTGTGCACGTAGAGATGACATTCTATATTTACGCTTTTTTATCATGATCAATTTTATTTGTGAAGAAATTGTACAATGAAATGCTTTAAGGCACGTTAATGTAAAGAAAAATAAATGTGCATTGTATCATAATCATATTTATGTCTTAAGTTGTTCGGGATAATGAATTTCATTTATTTTAAATTTTTCATTAAATTTAATAACTTTTTATTAATACACGAGAGGACTAAAAAAATATTTTATGTAAAAAAAAAATGCGAAAGTGAATTAATGAAAAGATATTTAAATTACATGAAATTTTTAAGATCTATGCATTTAATTATCCCAAATAACTTTAAGGCATGAATAATGATTAACTTAGTAAACCTTTGATGTATATATACAGTCAACTCTCAATACGTACGTACGTAAATGCACGCTCTATGTATGCCCCGCTCTATGTATGCCCCCCTCTAAATGCACACTAATCTTCAGTTCCAGCATATAGAACACTTAATAAAATGTTCACCATAAATGCACACCCTCTTTAAATGCACGTTTTTTTTTAAAAATATTGCCTATCGCTTCAAGGGAGGTGCATTCACGGAGGGTTAACTGTACATACAATTATCGATTATGTTTTTATAAATTAGGGTTATCTGATAATTAATTTTTATTGGTTAAAAAGGATAATCAATTAACATACGTACGTTACATACGTATGTTAAATGACTTCTAAGTCATTTAAGCTTTGAAATGACCCAATGACTAATCATTTGCCATTTGAGTCATTTTAGTCATTTTAAGTCATTTATTATCACTGCAATGCAGGAAGCCTAAAACTTCAATCAACTCATACCGAATAAAAGATAAGCTAAATTTGTCATTCTCGACGGCGGTTTCAGTAGTACACTATTAAGTCCAATTTAGTTTAATTAAAGAAGGTTAGGGGTTAGTCGAAAGTTAAGAGTAGGCTCTATAAGTAAATTACTCTTGTATTTTTTTGAATTTATAACGAAATAATCAATTTGAAGAAAAAAGTTTTCACGAAGGCCCAAAGCTTATCATATTGGAATGTTATAAAATTTAACGTTTTAAATCTTGCCACAAAGACATTCTATGAAATCAATGGTTGTCCGAAGCCCGCCTAATTTCTTTTTTATTGGTTTGACGAATTATTAGGGCATTATATTTATGTTTGTTTTGATTTAATGAGGATCTATTCTGCACTACTCTGCAGAAAAGGATTTAATAAATATGCAAACTCATTAGATTATCTTAAAACCATTAGATTATCGCCTAACTTATTAGCCTGGACCTATTGAGATGCCATTTGACATTGTTATTATGAATAAACGTTATAAATGATATAACAGATAATTGATTGTCTAATATGTAGACTGTCTGTCAGATAATTGTATTGTCAAATAACCAACCCCACTATCAAAAATTGTTGGGGTATTAAAGTTCTACATATGCCGCATATTGCCGCCTATTAACCATATGAATACATATGAAACAAATCCGTGATTGATTCTCGTGTTAATCCGCAGTTGATATTCGCTTTTGCACCATCGGACCCGATTTCTTAGTGTAATGGGAAATCAGAATCCCAAACATATACAATATGTATAGTTTTAGCTCAATAGAGTTACTAGGTTTAGCAATAAAAAACTTTATTCAGAATAACATTAGCATAATCCCGCATGTGTAGTATCCTTTTAATTTATTGAAATCGTCACAGGAACCATCAATTCACTTTCGAACGTGCATTTAACTTTGTTCAAAGAGTAGAATCCTTGCTATGTTTCGGACATTAATATACATATGTGCGCATACAAAAAAAAAAAAAAAAAAAAAAATATGAAAAACATGTAAATCGTATGTTTCAGTCTACCCTATTCTCTGACTTCGTTATACGTATTAGAGCAGAACCAAATGTAACGGGCACTATGCATTAGGGCTCTGCAAGGGCTGGCACACGCACTATTAAAACACAGTGCCCATGCCTGTTTCTGACGCAATGTTTAATAGGGACATGCCGGCACTTGCAGAGCCTACTATGCATGTATGTTGTTTCAGAAATTATTTCTATATTAGACATCTAACGGCTAGAAATAATATGTATAGACTCATGAATTCTAACTTTGATGTATCAAAGAAAAAAAAAAAAAGATTTCAACCAATTAGTATTGGTTCAAATAATCAAATATTCATATATATAGGCCGTCTTAGTTCTGAATAACGCTCAATTTACTATCGCTTGCTCTTTTGTCGTTATTAATAATGTCTACTGCAAATGTAAATATATAAAATTTGACAAGTGATAAATTGTTTCTATTTCTTTTAATATTTTATATTAAATATCTAACTTATCCTACGTGTTTATATTTGCAGCAATGCATTCTTGCAATCGGAAAGACAGGAACTGTAAAAAGTTTTACGGGAAAAGTTTTTGGTGCACAAAGTAATTCAAATGTAGATGAAGTTACGGTTCATGATATTGGAAGTGGGAGCCTTTATATTGATACCCCTGGATTTGATGATTCCGATAAAGATGATAAAACCAAACGTTTAATTCTTCGTACGATATTCGATAAAAATATTTCTAATATAACAACAATTTTATGGTTTGTCGATCCTAAAAATGGAACATCAAACTCGTGGGAAAGTGAGGCAAGATTTATTGAGTCATTAGCAGATAACTATGTCGAAAACGTATGGGACAATACGATTATTGTCACCAAAGGAGACAAAATTGAAAATGGCCCTCGTGAAGCAGCCAAAAAAGTGGCCAGGGAGAAGTATGAAGAAACAAATAAAGAATCATTTAATGGCGAACATGACCTGCTTGCAAAAACCGCTGATTTTGCAATTCAATTATTTGAAAGCTTACCAGAAGATAGTGATATTCATGAGACTGACTTATCAAGCGATGAGCTAAACGAACGTAATATTTTTAAAGAATCTGAGCCAGAAAGAATTCTTGTAAAGTACGAATCATTAATGGAAGAGCACCCTAGCCATCCTATAAAATTAAATTTTATAAAAGTTCGATGTTCAAAATGTCCAGAATATACTGATCCAAGGCTAGCAGTACCAGAATGCCATACGGAAGCTGAATTTTCTCATGGAGAAATAGAAAATATTCACCGTGGGGAAATTATACACGAACATTCAGATAATCTTCTTTATTATCATTCTGGTTCGTTAAAAGCTTATCATCCAGATTCACGTACTAGTGTTCATCCTGGTAAACGTCATGATAATGAATTGGATAATAGTTTTGGTGCTTGGGCAGTTCGTTTTTTCACTTTTGGAAGGATTAGTTGGAAGATTTCCGGATACTGGGATTGTTGTAAAAACAAATTAAATTCAGAAGGGTGCAAAGGGGTTTATTCTTGCTGCAAAAACGATAATGAAGGTTGTTGCCAGAAGTATAGTTGTTGTGATCATGGTCCCAATAATAGTGGATGCCAGAAAAAAATATGGTTGTTGCGATCAATCTGACACAAGTGAAGGATGTCAAAGTATCTATAATCTTTGTAAACATAAGGTTGGTGAAAGTCCTTGCAGTACGATTTGTAAAGAATGTGGGAAAGATTCGAATACAGAAGGTTGCAAACAACAGTGCAAAAATTGCAAAAATCCACAAACCGAGAATGGGTGTATTACTACACCACATGTTTTTCTTGCTAGTTAGTTTGAAACAAAATTACAGCATTTGATAGTCAATATATAACACTATGATTGTTTATATTGGTTTTTATTTTTGCTTATTTCTTAATTTCTTTAGTTTCAAATTTATATATCTTATGTAGATGCACTGATTTTGTAAACAAACATGTATGTATTTTATAATAAATATAAGACTTTTATTTATTGATAAAAAATTGTACCCAAATTTTCTAAAAATATATCGATATCGATATCTTTGTTGTAACGTTACCAGATAAGGTATTTCACTTACAGTACCACATATCCTCTTACCAAAATGTACTTAGCGGAAATATATCTTTTGCGTGATAAAACTCAATAATAAAATAAATTAAAAATTTAGGACGTGAATAAATAGTCGCTAATTATGTGTATCCATCCTTTTTAGCCAGTTCCCAAGGCAAGTTTTAAGCACTTACTTTATTGTACAGTCAGACCTCCCTAAATTCAACCCCCTAAATGCATAGTTTCTCTAAATGCATGACTTCGCCTCGGCCCTAACTTATATAATATTTATAGATTTTACCTTTCTAAATGCAAAACCTCTCTAAATGCAAGATTTTTTTATAGGCCCATCGCTATGCACTTAGAGAGGGTTGACTGTATTTAGAAGTGCGGTAGAAATTGTTACAGCTTATTCCGTAACTATTTAAAGCTTATGTCGTAATTTAGTTACGACTTATTCCGTAACTATTTAAAGCTTATCGTTATGCCGTAATTCATAATGGTTTTGGGGACTCTAAATATTTCAATATCCTTCTGTATAATGATAACGATAAAATTTTAATTTTGACTAAAATATATCTACTTTTTCAATAGATTTAAAGGTTTCAAATAATATCTAATCGTTACGGTTTCGGTATTGTTATTGACAGCAGCAGTATAAGATATCTAAATAAAGATCCAAATGATAAATATAATTTAAGGCTCTGCAAGCCCACCAAAATGTACATTAATACTGTAATATTTTTAAAGATGCTAATCTAAGATTTATATATTTTCACTACGTAAAAATACTTATAATTCGAAAAGCTTTGTTTAAATGTTGCTTTATTGATTTTAAGTTTATTTGCTTCTATTACTAATGTAAGTTATAATCTTACTTCATAACAAGTAGATCACATAACGCATTAAAGTTTCATAATCAACAAAAATGTTGTACGTAGAACTTATTTGCAGGGCAATTAAGAAAATTTGACACAATAGCAGCATTTAAAAATTAAATTTTATTTTACTAGAGTTTACCTATTGTTTGTATTACAAGCTTATATAGTATCTTAAAAATAATTGAATATAATTGAGATTTGCTATCATTATTTCTAGTTAAATTTAAAAAAGATTCTAATAATATGTATATATATGTTTAATATATATACTGTATGTATATTATAACTTAATTGGTCAATTATTATATAGTTTTTAAAAAAAATTACTATAATATTTATTAGTTTTTTAATCATTTAAAATTTCTAAAGTTTTGTTAATACAATTTATATTTTCTAATTAGTTGATTTTTTTGTTTGGTTTTATATTATTTTGTATAAATAAACATATATTGTTTTTAATTAATAAAGTTAACCATATATTCTCCAAAATAAGCTACTATTTTTGTGCAAAAAATTATACAAAATTTTATGAGTAGCTTATTTACAAAACATTAAGTTTTTAAAAAATTAAAATATCTTGGTGAATTCTTATACAAATTGTATAAAACCTTTGAAATATATAAATTTTGCTAAGCTAAACAATTTTATTTAAGAGATCAAAAACAATTTATTTAATAAAAATTTAATTTTTATATATAAAAACAATTTATAAATTTTTTAAAATTTTAAATAAACAGAGCAATAGCTTATTTTAAGAATAGCTTATTTTGAAGAATATACAGTAATAATAAAACTTTATAAAAACAATTTTATATAAATCTTATATACAGTACTAAATACAAATAATCTGCACCTATATCTCCTTACTGTAAGATCCTAGAGCCTTAAAACTTTCAGAAAAGTTAATACTTAAAAAGTATAGATTATATATTTTTTTGATAATTTTTTAATCACTAGAAAAATTTTTAGATGAGAGCCAAAGTTTAATGTAATTTTTTTAAAAAAAATAAAAAAATAATTGAATTTAATTAAAAATTAATACAGTTTCAAATTTTATAGTTAAAATTTTTTAAAAATTAGTACAATAAAGTTTAATGATTTTATAATAGTAAAAAATTTAACCTAATTTGATGAGATAGTTAGAGGCATGCTATTTATCACATAATATTTTTTACTTAGTAGCTACCTCATCTATGTATGGTGTGATCACTCTAGCTTGATTCTGATTGGCCAATTTAATTAATTATTAAAAAAATTTTTAATATTTTTAAAATTGAATAACTTTTGATCGACTAGTTTGTTTTGAATAATTTAGCCATCAAAATATTCATTTTGATAAAATAATTCTAAGAGTTTAAAATTGTTAAAATCTAAAGAATCTTAAGATCATTAAGGTTTTTTGTATTATTTTGTATATGGGCACTTTTCAATAGAAAGTGGGAAAAAGTTTTTAGTAACTTTTTTTTTAAATTTTAAATTAAAATATCTCAATAACTACTAAATTAAATGTAATAATTTTTTTTTTAGTTTTATAATTTTATAGAATTAAAATAAAAAAAAATTATTAAATTTATTTTAATAGTTGTTGAGATATTTTAATTTAAAGTTTAAAAAACTTTTACTTAGAAGAAATCTTCTCCTTTATATTAAAAAACCCCTATATAATAAAATTAATTTTATTATATATAAAATAGAGAATTACTTCATATTGCCTATAGCAATTATCACCACAATATTATTGTGTAATATAATAAAATACATAATAACCTTTATGATTAGAGTAGAGGTTAGGTTAGATTTAGAGTGAAGGCAGAGTATAGTAATGGCCTATACCAAAATTTTACAAGAAATTTTTTTTGTTAAAACACAAAAGACTATTTTATAAGTAAATTATTAAACTACAAGCATTTTTTTGTTTTTTTGATTGTTTTTCAATTTTTTATATTATATCTGATCCTGAATCTGATTGGTTAATCACATTGTAGCAATCATCGTCACAGGTGATAAATAGCAAATCTCTATAAAATAATACAAAAAAACCTTAAAGATCTTAAGATTCTGTAAGTGCAGTATTATTTATCACCTGATTTTTTTTTTATCAGAAATTTACCCTCCTCTCCTCCTCTTACTATATATCTTGATCAGGTCTTTATATATAATTTTAAATTTTTTACCTTCCTTCTCCTTTAAAAAATCACCTGATTTTTATCATATTTCTAATTAGATTTTAATGATTTTGAACTTATTAGAATCATCTTATCAAGACAAATATTTTGACAACTAAATCATCCAAAACAGACTAGTAGATCCAAAGTTATTTAATATTAAAAATTTATAAAATATATATATAATTTATATATTATATAGAAAATTTATTAGTTTACATATAGTATTTATATATAGGTATAATTTATTAAATTATATATTAATATAACATACTAATCAAATTAATTTTTATAAAGAAAAATTAAACTATTATTTATAGTTAGAGTATAGATAGATTTGAAATTAGAAAAAATATAGTTTATACCAAAATTTCGCAAAAAATTTTTTTTGTTAAAAGCCAAAAAGTGGTTTTATAATCAAACTTTTGAGATATCTATATTGCTTATATATATACACTTTGTGTACAAATAAAAATTGTTTATTATATATATACATTATATATATATTTTATAAATCTTTAATATTTAATAACTTTTGATCTATTGGTCTATTTTTTGGATGATTTAACTGTCAAAATTTTTATCTTGATGAGACAATTCTAATGAGTCCAAAATTGCTAAAATCCAAAGGTTTTTGTACTATTTCAAATATAATAAAATAATTTTATTATATATGAAATAATACAAAAATTCTTAATAATCTTAAAATCTTGTAATTAGATTTTAGTAAATTTAAACTCATTAGAATCATCTTATTAAGATGAATATTTTGATAGTTAAATCATTTAAAATAAACTAGTAGATCAAAAGTATTTAATATTAAAGATTTATAAAATATATATATAATTTATATATTATATATTTCATTATATATATATATTTTTTTTTGGTTTTAAGGTGAGGCTTTGCTCGTATCTTTATTAGTAATTTTTGATATAGTTACATTATAGATTACTATAGAAGAGTTATTAAATAACTACTGAATATAGAAATTTACAAAGCTACTACTATTTGTACTAGTACAAATAAAGAATAAAAATTACATGCAAGAATAAAAGC